CCGGCCCGCAGGCCCACTGCGAGGTCTGCGTAGGCCCGAAAGACCCCAAACCCCCCCCCCCCCCCCGCCCTGTGCCCTGCTGCTCGCGGCTGCTGTGGCGCGTGTAGAGGATCTGGGACTGATCGCTGCTGGGCTGATTGCGCAGACTGGTTCCTGGAGTATCAGAAAGGGGCCCGCATGCACCCGTTTGACCCGATCTGGACTGCTGTCAACTTTGACCTTGCCCAGGCTCCTGGCTGGTTTTTGTGGACAGGTTGAGCTGGAGGTGTGTCGCTGGCATGTCGCAGCCCCGCACGTTTGGCTGTGCTTACAATACGCTGCACTTGAGAGGCTTGAAAACACGACTGTCCAAGGCCCTTGCTCACGTGCTCGCAACGCGAAACGCTCGGGGCAAAAAACACGGCAGCCTCAGCCCACACCCCCCCCCCTCCCACACCCAACTTGCGTGCCGTGCGCTCGCTCAATCCGCGGCGGCTGGGGGAGGTGCGGGGCCGAAGCATGGGTTAGCGAATCGGTGAATTCAAGAGGTGGAGCCGGAAGATCGGCGCCAAATTGCGACCAGGCGCGAGCAAGGCATTCCCTAGCCATATGTGAGAAAACGCAGGCGCAGAGGGCCCCGCCGCACCCGGCCGCAGCGGACAGCCGCGGCCCCAAATGCCGCCACGTCTGCTCGACGCCCCTCAAACAAGACCCTGGCCGCCGCAAGGGGCGTATCGCGTGTACGCGGGGGGGAATGCCGCCGCTTGCCACGTGGGACCCTCTTCTGCAGCCAAAACAAGCGCCTTTCATCCTGCCGCAGCTGACGACTGCCTTGCCTCTGCAAGGCGAGGGCCATCAACCACCCAGTGGACCCGACACGGCCCTGGAAACCCGCCCGTGGGCGGTTTTGCTGCAGCCTGCAGGCAATTTAGTAGACAGGCAGGGTGATGCGCTCAATGGCGTCCACCTGGGGGGGGGGTGTCGGTTGTGCGCGAGGTTTTATGCAGGGTCAAGGGTGTGCTGCGGGGTGCGCGCAGCCAGGTGCAGCTGGTCCGCACAAGGTATCCAGCCCTGCGGTGCGTAGGGGCCTTCACTCCAAGTCCAATTGGCAAAAAATGTCCTACATGCGCCCCCCCTCGGCCGCGCTGCCCCAACATGCGCTGCAGGCGCCCTGCCTGCGCACTCACTGCGCAAGCGCCGCGAACCACCCACGCAGGCCCCTGGGCACCCCCTTCGTGTCCACCCCGACCTGCCCCATTCCACCACAGCCGCCGCCACCCCGACTAGCCCGCATTCAGAACTTTTTTTTTCACCCGCCCACCCCACCAGCGCAACAACAAACACACTGACGAACACGCACACACACACACACACACACACACACACACACACTCACTCTCTCTCTCTCTCTCCCACTCTCTCGCCGGCCCCCACCTTGTCGAAGCCGGCGCCGCTGGCGTGGATGCCGCAGCTGTCGCCCCCGTGGATGTAGGTCTCCGCATACTCCCCGTACACGCGGCGCTTCAGCTTGTTGTCAAACACGTTGTACCAGGCGTTGTAGCCGCCCTGGGGGGGGGGGTGACGGGGGGTGCGGGCCGATTGGGGAGGGGTAAGTGTGTGTGTTTGTGTGTGTATGTGTGACTGAGAGTGTGTGCGTGTGTGTGTGTGTGTGTGTGTGTGTGTGTGTGTGTTGGGGGGGGAGGGCGGATTGAAGCAGGTTGTTTCGGAAGGGGGTGAGAGTGGGTACATATGTGTGCTTGTGTGCGTGCGTGTGTGAGCGCGAGAATTTCGCCTTCATGCATTTTTCGTGCTCGCGCTGCGTCGGTGTTTCCGCCCCAAGGCTGTCCCGTCGCATCCAACCGAAGGGTGTGCCGCCCGGCATCAGCGCACACAGCGGCTGCCTCCCCGCCCTGCGGAAGGCCGCGGCACGCACACTCTTGAGCACGTTGAGCCGAACACGCCCTGCCCCCCACCCTTGACAGCCTGCAGCACGCACTGGGAGAGTGTCGCACACCCTCGCGCACACCGTGCTCAACGC